TTTTTTTTTTTTTTTTTTTTTTTCCTCCAGTGACTTTTAAAGTATACATTTTACATAAGCTCTTTAGGTTCTCTGCTGAGCCAACATGTTGATGATTTTAAATGGTATAAGTAGTTTTATGGAGAAATAGCCAAAAAAAATTTTTTTGGGGGGGGTGGGAGTTAATTTTTTTTATTTTCTTAAAACGGAGGCTCATTTTGCAATTTGATTTTTTTTAGGTTATAAAGGAAAACAAGAGGCCCCAGAGGGAAAAGAAGCCCAAAGTTTTAAAGGTAATCAGCTATTGATTAAATCATATTTGATTTTTGTCCATTTCATATAGTTTTTTTCTGTCACTTAGGGGTGAATTTGGAGGACAGTGGATGTGAATTTTCCCAGGTTTTCAGTAAATGAATTTTCACTCAAAGTGTTTTCTCTGTTTTTGATGTGCTGCATAATATGCATATTAGCATCCTTTATTTTCAACTCCACACAGATCTGCAGAAGGAAAAGTTTATATGCAAAGTGTAGTGAATAAAATTTATTTCTCTTTGTAGCTCCCTTTGTAGCATCTGCATTTGTGGTGTTGCACCAGTGTGTAAACTTGAGCTCTTAAGAAGAAAGACACTGTTTGAAGTTGACAGCTATGATCCATTATGATTTTAATAGACTTTCCATTAGATACCATTTTAAAATGTGTGATTTTTCTTTCTGAAGGAAAAGGTCCTTAGAGATTTTAGTCAAACTTAAAATGTGTAAGCCATTGAGATCTTAAAGCCAAATTATAATTGCTTAACCCCAAATTCTCATTATATTATCTTTAATTTTGACATTCATAAAGCTGTAGGAATATGCATGTTTTCTTTATTTTCAATAGTTTGCCTAATGAGTATTTAGTAGTAACCTAATTCGGGTGTAAGCTAGCAATCCGTGCTATGAGCTTTGTACAGTATTTAAAAGGGTTAATTTAAAAGCATATGGAATTGCTAAAAGTTGGAGGCTAGCTTTAGTCTAGCAAATAAGTGCTTGTGTGTTTAAGGTTTCAAGTGATATATTGCTATTATAAATGTAAGCAACCTGAGCAAGCAATCTTTCACTCAAGAAGATATATTAAGCAATAAAACTGCTGGTCTTTAATATTACATTGTGCACCCATAATGTAAAATATTTTAACTTCTTTTGCAAATAAAGTTTTAGCATTCAAAGAGGAACAACATGTTGAACTATGAAGGTGGCAAATTTTTATTTCACTTGTTTCCCAGTGTGCATCTTGAACATGTTATTGGCATGGAGAGCCAGACCTTGCATTGCTTTCTCATTTGTCTGATCACCTCGAGTTTCTGTTTCCTGTGTGTACACAACATTGCCATGGCCATTTTTCATCAACCAACAAGTATTTGTTTAATATTTACCACACAATCATCAGTGTGCTGGGCATGGTAAGTGAATGAAATTGCTTGGCACAAGTTCTTATTTGGCCTGCACAAATAGAATACTGGTTATTTCCTTTTTCTTTTAAAAAAATATATCTTTATTGATTTCAGAGAGAGGAAGGGAGAGGGAGAGAGAGAAACATCAATGATGAGAGAGTCATTGATTGGCTGCCTCCTGCACGCCCCCTACTGGGGATCGAGCCCTCAACCTGGGAATGTGCCCTGACCCGGAATCTAACCTCGATCTCCTGGATCCTAGGTCAATGCTCAACTGCTGAGCCACCCCCAACTGGGCAATACTGGTTATTTTCAAGGTAAATTGAACCCTTTTCTGTTTTGTTTTTCTACACATTGATTCACACCCCCGCCATTACCCCCTTCTCCTCCCCACATAGACGTATATCATCAAAAGTCCTGCTGTTATAAATGTCTCTCAAATTTGTGGGAGGCAGGGATGAGGGCATGGGATAAAGGGATAGACTACATGGGCAAACTGATATAGACGAAACTTGGTAGCTTAAATTACCCGCCTTTGCTAGGAAGTAGAATCGGGCTTTGGTAGTACTATTTAACTCTGTGTTTATTTTGTTAGTCTGTGGGCGTCCTGTCACCTGAAATAAATTTCAGAAATAAATATACTGTGTGTTGCTTTTTTGAATCATGGCAGCGGACTCTGACTTTTAAAAAATAAGTGCCTGTGGGTGGCTGAACTTCATGCGCCACGGCAAGCGGAACTGAATTCTTGCTCGCTTTCCTCTGTAGTTATCGATCATCGTACAAGAGTAGGGAAATGCTCTACAAGGAAAAAATATTTTTTTTCTGATGTCGGCATTTAAAAATATTTCATTTAATGTTCTGTTGGGCATCATACTTTTCTTCTAAAAAAGCTTTCTCTGCTCCATAGAGGAAGTGCTAAACTACTTTGAGATTTTAGTATGATTTTGTAAAATACAGTTAGAGCAAATGTAGAATATTATATAATTCTGAATGCGATGTTAAGAAAACTAATTCCACGTTTTGGGAAGGAGGGTGGGGGAAGAGTACAACCTTCAATTTAAGGTTTGGTGGATGCCGACTTAATATGCAGCTGGCTGTGCCCAGATCAGTGATAGGATCTACAAGTTACAGCTGGTCTCCTTTCATAATTCTCTCTTTGCCTTAGGCATCGTACCAGAGAACCAGTTTGCTTCCTTTGACTCTGACCTCTTAGGTCTTCAGATATCCCTGGTTCTTTGTTCCTTGTCAGGGTAGATGCTATAGGTATCTTGACTAACTTTCATCTTCATCATCTATTAGGAAGCAGTCGGATAGATAAAGAGCCTGGTTAAGGAAATTGGATCTAGAATTGAAGCTTGTCCCACCCAACTCTGAACCTGCTGACTAATAAATACCAAGTCCAGTTGTGGGGCTGAAATTGCCTGGTGTGTCTCACACCTCTCTCATCTTTGAACAATTTGTTATCTTTATCGATAACCTATATTCATTCTACTGTAATTCAAAATTTAAAACCATAAATAGTGGTCTCAAATTCCTGACTGGAGAGACTGTTTTCCTCTAGCTGAAATGACAGTTTCTGGGAATCAGGTGTTTCAGGGGTGGGGGTGGCAGGTCAGCACAGTGCTGTATGTCCAGGGTCCTGCTCAAGCCCTGTTAATGATCATGAGAATTATTTTTCTATGTAGATGGCAGCTTGTTAGCTGGACTGTAATTCTTTCCATGACTCTTGAATAAGGCAAAGTTGTGAAGCCATTCCAGGCCTTGATCCTTGACATTGGACTGTGAGTGGCATCATTCGGAACTTCACTTGGTAAAAAACATTTATGTAAATAATCTTTGCTTTCTGTGTTGGGATGTAAGGGTATATACCCATAGAGAAAGTAATTTTTTTTTCTTTAAAGAGAAAAGCTATATTTAAATAGATGTTGATTTCAGAGGGACGAAGGGAGAAAGAGAGAGAGATAGAAACATCAATGATGAGACAGTTGTCATTGACTGGCTGCCTCCTACCCCCCCCTCCCCCCCCGACCAAGCACTGAGCCTGCAACCTGGGCATGTGCCCTGACCAGGAATCGAGCTGGACCCTAGGTTGATGCTCAACTACTGAGCCATGCCTGGCCGGGTGAGAAAGTCAATTTTGAGGTAATATCACTTTGGTTAGGTTGTCAGTCTTTGTCCCTGGAGAATATCAGATTGCACACTCAATTGGGGGTATTGAGGAAAGTTTAATAAAGGGACTGTTTGAAAGACGTGGGCAGGCTTATGGAAAAATGACGGGTGTAATGACATCAGAGAACTATTGCCACTCCTAGGCCTGAAGGCGAGGGATTCAGGGCACGAACCCAAGTAGAAGAGTTGTAGCTGAATGTGGCCCTTCAGTAAAAGGATCTTTCTGCAAAGAGAAAGTCATAGAGAAGGGGGTATGGAAATAAATCCCCTGCCCTCCAGTGTCCTGATGCTTTCATTGGCTGCTCCCAATCAGAAGTGAAAAGGAAAGGGACAGGCCACCGATGAAGTAGATCTTGGTCAGCCTTTGCTGGCATGTATGAGGGTCTAGAGTAGATGACAGAGTGTGGACCTGGTGGGGCAAACAGCATATTCAGCATCACTAGTGACCGTAGGGCAGGCAGCATGGTGGGGTCAGAAATAGTACTAGAACCACGCTTCTGTAAGACGGTAACATTAGGCAAGGCTGGGTGAAGTATATAGAGCTCTCTGCTATTTTTGCAACTATTCTATAAATCTAAAGTCATTTCAAAATAAAAAGTGTGGGCATCCCTTGCGAGGGGACCCCATTTATGCCTTCTGTAATTAGATACTCTTTCTAGGCTGCTAAGGGACATTTTTCTAGTTATTTGGTTATAAAATACCTTCAAAGTAGTATTTGGATGACTGAGTGAGCAAATATAAAGAAATGTCAGTGGGTATTAAACCGGGACACTGTCTACAGATGATTTAGAAAAGAAAAAATGAAAACGAAGTGATCTTCCTGCTAGCTTCTGCACTGGCAGCCCTGCTCTTCCCTGTTTCCTTCCTTCTTTCATGGTGGTGATAAAGCAGAACAGGTGATGCTGGAGTGATGGGGAGTGAAGGATATAAGACACAGATTTCACTGAAAGAGAACAGACACGGACATACATGTCTTTTCGAAATATGTTTTAAAAGGAGAATCAGATCACTCATTAATCACATTCGTACATGGTCCTGATTTACATGACAGTGACATTCAAAATATTTAGTTATATCATCATTGCCTGGCACATAGTAAATGCTTAATAAATGTTCTTTCCTGAACACAATTATTATTAACATTCATGAAATAAATTTTTAGCACATACTAAATGCTGGGGCTGCAATGGTTTCTGCCTTCAAGGAGACTAAATGGTGCTGAGGAAGGGCGAGGGGAAAAAAAATTAGGGACAAATGGATAAATTACAAATGGTGGTATGTGTGGGTGCATTGAAGGAAAACAAAGCACTGACATAGGGAAAACACCATCTAGGGAAAGTTACTTGATATCTTTGAGAACTATTCCCTTCATTTATAAATTGTAATACATACTAGTGCTGATTTAAAAGTACCAAGTTAACTCTCATTGAGTTCTCGTGTTTATTTTAAATACCCATTAAACTACAAAAAAATGGAAGGTAACAGTTATTAGAGATTTTTTTCCCTTGCACAATTATGTACAACTTTGTTTCAGTTAGTAAAATAAAGCATTGGTAAAATGATCAACTTTTCTTAACTCTGGTAGTAATGTAACATTCCATGATTTATAGCAACGTGTTGCAAGTTTAAGTGATGGGTCAAATACTGAGCTAGACCATTTTTTAGAGAATGAAACAGGCCATTTTGATGGAGGC